ATGTTAGGCTCATATAAGCTCATTTGCTGGATATATATCATACCTCACACAATGTTGTGTTTCACATCCTGTCGGAAAACACTATTTCTGTAAGTACCATTTTACAAACTTATCTGGCAGTTACGAGTTATTGACTGTGGATAAGGCATTGATGTAATGCTTTAGTCGATTATAGTATAAATTATGGTTTGCCAGAGTATAGGCTTCAAAAAAGGGTATATTTTAGGACAGTTGTTTACTAAAGTAGGCGGTAAAGTGTAGAAATATGGGTTATAGGTACGGTAACGAGTGGCGAAATAATACTAGTGTCAAGTCAACATTAGTGTACTGGAGAGTAAAAATCTGATAAGTAATAGATAAGAAGGAACTCACATTAACTCACATAAACCAGCTGATGGGTAACAGGCTCCATCGATGCAACATCACTGGTAGTAGATAGTCCATTGTGGGGTTGTCTCTACTTTTTGGGGTAGTAGTGAGCATCTTCGTCTGGAGTCCCTCCGGGGGCTACTGCCGGTCCCAAGCCCGGATAAAGGAGGAGGGTCGGGCATGGGGTTAGCGTCCCCATCCCGTAGAAAACTAACTCGCTAAAAAAACGCTAACCAGAAAAAATTATTCAAGCCTTTTAAACTCTGCCCTGGGAGTCAGAAGGTCTTCATTTAGAAGAATTATGACGCCTCATGATGAAAGCCGAATTCCTTCGGAAGTTACGAGGCCGATGCTCCTTCTGACAACCAGAGCGACCATTTATTTAGGTACATGGAATGTTCGTACAAGGACGGACACCGGAAGGGCCTTCCAAATTGCTGCAGAAATGAGAAGATACAACCTAGAGGTACTTGGGATCAGTGAAACACACTGGACACAAGTTGGACAACAACGACTAACTACTGGAGAGCTCCTGTTATACTCCGGCCATGAAGAAGAAAATGCACCACATACACAAGGAGTTGCATTGATGCTGTCCAAACAAGCGCAAAATGCACTTATAGGATGGGAATCTCATGGACCAAGGATCATCAAAGCCTCCTTCAAAACAAAAAAGAGGGCACTTCAATGAACATCATCCGATGCTATGCGCCTACCAACGACTACAATGAAGACGCTAAAGATCAATTCTACTATAGGCTGCAGTCAATCGTCGAGAAGTGCCCAACAAAGGACCTGACCATTCTGATGGGAGATTTCAATGCCAAGGTTGGAACGGACAACACTGGATATGAAGACATCATGGGACGACACGGACTGGGAGAAAGAAACGAAAATGGTGAGAGATTTGCAAATCTATGTGCCTTCAATAAGCTGGTCATAGGCGGCACCATATTCCCACATAAACGCATACACAAAACCACATGCACTTCACCGGATCACTCTACACAAAACCAAATCGATCATATTTGCATCAACAAAACGTTCAGGAGGAATATGGAAGACGTGAGAACCAAGAGAGGAGCTGATATAGCATCAGATCATCACTTACTGGTCGCCAAGATGAAATTGAAACTCAAGAAGCACTGGACAATGGGGCAGACAATATCACAAAAGTTCAATACGGCCTTTCTCCAGGATACTAACAAACTCAACAAATTCAAGATAGTCCTCAGCAACAAGTTCCAGGCCTTTCATGATCTACTCAATGGAGAAGGAACTACTGTGGAGAGCAACTGGAAGGGGATCAAAGAGGCAATCACTTCAACATGTCATGAGGTCCTGGGTCACAAGAAGCACCACCACAAGGAATGGATCACTGTTGATACACTGGATAAGATTCAAGAAAGGAGGAACAAGAAGGCAGCGATCAATACCAGCCGAACAAGAGCAGAAAAAGCCAAGGCACAAGCTGAATACACATAAGTAAACAAACAAGTGAAGAGGAGCATCAGAACCGACAAACGTAAATATGTGGAAGATTTAGCAACGACGGCGGAAAAGGCTGCAAGAGAAGGAAACATGAGACAATTGTATGACATAACAAAGAAACTCTCTGGAAATCGCCGCAAACCAGAACGACCAGTGAAAAGCAAGGAAGGCGAGGTAATCACCAACATTGAAGAGCAACAAAACAGGTGGGTAGAACACTTCAAAGAACTCTTGAATCGACCAGCTCCACTGAACCCACCCAACATGGAAGCAGCACCCACGGACCTCCCAATCAATGTTGGCCCACCAACAATTGAAGAAATCAGCATGGCCATCAGACAAATCAAGAGTGGCAAAGCAGCAGGACCGGACAACATCCCAGCAGAGGCACTAAAGGCAGACGTAGAGGCAACTGCAAGGATACTCCACACTCTCTTCAATAAGATTTGGGATGAGGAACAAGTACCAACAGACTGGAAAGAAGGACTTCTGATCAAAATACCGAAGAAAGGCGATCTCAGCAAGTGTGATAACTACAGGGGCATCACTCTTCTCTCAATACCGGGAAAGGTCTTCAACAGGGTATTGTTAAATAGGATGAAGGACTGCGTAGACGCCCAACTTCGTGACCAACAGGCAGGATTCCGTAAGGATAGATCGTGTACAGACCAAATCGCAACTCTACGGATTATTGTGGAACAATCAATTGAATGGAATTCATCACTCTACATCAACTTCATTGACTACGAAAAGGCATTTGACAGCGTGGACAGAACAACACAATAGAAACTTCTTCGACACTACGGCGTGCCTCAGAAGATAGTTAATATCATACAGAACTCATATGGTGGATTACACTGCAAAATTGTGCATGGAGGACAGTTGACAAAGTCGTTCGAAGTGAAGACCGGTGTCAGGCAAGGTTGCTTACTCTCACCCTTTTTCTTTCTCCTGGTGATCGACTGGATCATGAAGACGTCAACGTCTGAAAGGAAACGCGGGATACAATGGACATCTAAGATGCAGTTGGATGATCTAGACTTCGCAGACGATCTGGCCCTTCTATCCCAAACGCAACAACAAATGCAGGAGAAAACGAATAGTGTAGCAGCAGTCTCAGCAGTAGTAGGTCTCAATATACACAAAGGGAAAAGCAGGATTCTCCGATACAACACAGAATGCACCAATCCAATCACAATTGAAGGAGAATATTTGGGAGATGTTAACACCTTAACATATTTGGTCAGCATCATTGATGAGCACGGTGGATCTGATGAAGATGTGAAGGCGCGGATCAGAAAAGCAAGAGTAGCATATTTACAACTGAAGATCGTCTGGAGCTCAAAGCAACTGTCAACCAACACCAAGGTCAGGATTTTCAATACAAATGTCAAGACAGTTCTACTGTATGGGGCAGAAACCTGGAGAACTACGAAAGCCATCATCCAGAAAATACAGGTGTTTATTAACAATTGTCTACGCAAAATACTTCAGATCCATTGGCCGGACACTATTAGCAACAACCTACTGTGGGAGAGAACAAACCAGATCCCAGTGGAGGAAGAAATCAGGAAGAAGCGCTGGAAGTGGATAGGACACACATTGAGGAAAGCACCGAACTGCGTCACAAGACAAATCCTCACATGGAATCCTGAAGGTCAAAGGAAAAGAGGAAGACCAAAGAACACATTACGCCGAGAAATGGAGATAGACATGCTAAAAATGAACAAGAATTGGATGGAACTAGAAAAGAAGGCCCAGGACAGAGTGGGTTGGAGAATGCTGGTCAGCGGCCTATGCTCCATTGGGAGTAACAGGCGTAAGTAAGTAAGTAAGTAAGCATCTTTTAGCAACCGGGAATCGATAAGTTCAGTGAGTTACCTGTCTACATGAAGTTAAAAATTAGGGAGGAAAAGTTATCTAATACGACTACAAAGTAGGAATATAAGGCGATTTGGTCGATACATGTGGAGATCCTATAATGTCTGAGTTGGACGCAGATGTGTTCGTTTGTGCTAGATCTGTGCAAGTGAGGGCTTGATCAATAAGTCTTACAAACGTATGTAATTAATCTGCCATGAGTATTTCAGAGGGTAGACTGACCCATATTATTGCATACTTGATGAGGAGGAAGGTTTCCCGAGTTTTTGATCCGTATTTCTCAACTTTTACAGTTGATACTTAATTCTGAAGTTCGTATTCATGTGAATTTTGGGCAAGAACTATATTACATGTTGAATAAATAAGGTTTTTGAGTAGTTTGAATTAGAGAATCAAATTAGACCTAAGCCTTCTTTTTCAAAGAGGTTCTATGCCTAAGATTTGGCATCGGGAACTGTAGTCAGTGACTGAGTCAGTCATAAATATTTTGCGGGTGAAATCTCATTGTATTCCTTCCACCCTTGGTATATCAGATAGGCCTAGTTTGGAAAATAAGAACGAGCAATATTCAACGATAGGTCTTACACAGACTTTATAAGGAAGGGTTTTAGGTTCATTTTGGTAGAAGCCAAATTATTTCCGCATTTTAGATGCATTGACTGGGATGTGTTCAGAGAAATGAAGACCATGTGGGTAATGTACTCCTGGGTCAGTTACTGATGCCAGTCTGGGCAGTGTGTTGTTCAATGCTAGTTCTATTTTAGGAGTTGGTTCACCAATACCTAGCCAGCCTCACTTCTCTGTGTTGAGCTCTAACCTCCAGCGTTTGCACCAGTCATCTACCATGTTGAGTTCATTTTGGATTGTTCGCATAATACTATGTACATCGTAAATGTCAGTTTTATAGATGACTTTTAAGTCATCAACGTAGAGGTAGATCTTACCTGTGCTAAAGCACTTGTATATATCGTTGATGTAGATTGTAAAGAACAATGGACCCAAGGCACTACCCTGCACAACACCACTGGTTATTGGCCGTGGTGTAGATGTTGTAGAGTTAATCTTGGTTATTTGGTATCTCTGTGAGAAAAGACTTGATCCATTGCAATAGAGAGTTTGTAATTCCAACTGACTGAAGTCTGTTGATTAGTAGGTTATCAAATGCTTTCTTAATATCGAAATATAGTGTAATCACTAGTTCCTTTTGATCACGTATGTGAGTAACCTCGTTAAGGAGGTCTATCTATTAGAAACTTGTCCTAATCATCAGAACCATCAGAACCCCAAAAATCTGTATCTGAATCGTTATCATTTTCGTCAGTTCCCCGTTCTACAAACTCATGTTCTGAATCTTCGTCTGAAGAGTATCGACGAAATCGTAATCTTGCATGATCTTCATCATCTTCATCGTTATCTGTATTGCTGTGTATACTTTCATGTGAGCTAGTCCTTGTACATTTAACGTCACCAGAATCATCTAATTCATCGTCAGGATTAACAAGTTCTGACATAGCTTCAGGGTGTTCGGTTGACGAGACATTACTGGGTAATGGCTGGTCATTTAAAATATGCTTGCAGTTCAGATTTTCTGAAGGATTAGATGGATCAGAACATACTGAACAATCAGTACATAAATTATAAGAATTTGTAGAGATGCCTGAATTGTTTGGTTTTCTCTTAGGATCTTCCATGAACTGACCTAGACGATAGTAGATTTGTCTACATACATGAGTTAAATAAAGTTCTCCAATGCTCAAAGCGAATGATAAAGGTTCATAAAGATCAGGGATAGCCGCAAGTGAAGATGATTCACACTTATTAGTTACTGCAGATGAACAATTATCGGAAGAATCGATCTGAATGGCTTTTTCTTCTTCACCAGTCATCAAACTGGTAGAGGCTGAAGTGATTTTAGATTGTTGAGGAGAATTGCTTTCTATATTTGAATTTTCGTCTAATTTTTTCCCACTTGATTTATTGCGATCTTCTAAGTTAAGCTGGTGTATATACTCATAAGTAAGTATAGAAATAAGTAGCATTCTAATAAAAATAGGTCCTGTCAACTGATCAGATGTTTCATCTACACGATCTGGTTTTTCTTTAACTTCGCCCATTTTTAAATACTTGGTATTGGTATGTTCTGAATAAGTAATACTTTCAGACCGTACAGTTAAATGATCAGTAAGTAGTAACGAAGAATGTAGTTCCGCAAGTACATCATGAAAAATATTTTCTGTTGCGGGATCCCTAGACTCTACAGGTTTCAGGAACTGCTGAATTAGGTAGATGAATTTCATGATATTCTTCCGGAAATCTTTTGGTCTGAAATAAGAAGCATATCGGATGCGTGAACTTTTAGACGGCTTTTCGCGAATAATTATACCATAACGAAGCTCATTTTTAGCCAATACAGTGATGAGATTTCCTTTAGCACCCTCAAAAGGCGAACGGGATGTTAAGCAACGTAAATAATGGAAAACGGCATTTAGGCCGTAGCAACGTCCAACATCTAAAATGCCCAATTGATTGTGAGGCAGTCCCATAAGAGGATCAAAATAAAAAGCCGCTCTGTAATATCGATAAGCAAGTCGCTTAGCGTTAGAATCACCGAAATCAATTAGATAGCGAAATAGGTCTCCGATATTTGTCAGACATTTGTGTATCAACTTGATAACTGCAGACTTATTCTCCACAGAGGGATTATGCTTTTCCTCAAACTCAAAGAACACTCCACAGTAAAGAGGGATATGCAAAGCTATTGGGGTCCATGAACATAAGTTATTAGATTGTGTATCTCCTAACTCTGATTGGAAAGCTAAAATGAGAGACTGATAGTATCCTATAGCACTGAGGATATGGACGACAAGCATATTCTCAAACAACTTGATACGGTCTTGTTGATCATTGTTCTTAATGTAAACTTTATACAGGAAATAAGGTTCGTAAAATGCTTTGCGCCAAATAAGCTCCTCGGTTCTTCGAAAATTCGTGCCTAAATCCATAAACATGAGTTTCTGAAGTAGTTCCTTTAGTCTCAACCTATGCCCATAAGCCTCATAACTGAAGACTGTTTTAATCGCCTTCCCACCATGATAAACAGTATCCAACTTCTTTATTAGAACATAGGCTACTCTCCATAACCACTTTGACTTGTCCAGATTCTCAACCGGTGGACCCGTTATTGACATCGTAGCACTACATGAAGCAGTGTTGTGACGGGTCTAATAGATCTTCCTTAGGTAGGTGATCAGATAGTTGATTTTGTATCGCTTTTTCCATCATGCGTGATATAACTGGGGTGATATTTATAGGTCTGTAGTTTTCGACCAGGTTTCTCGAACCTTCCAGGTTTCGGGATATGCACCTGTCTCTAAAGGTAATGTGTTTATTTTGAGTAATAGCCTCTGTATGTCCGGCCCTGACATTTTAAAAAGGACTGATGGGATGTCATAGGCACTAGAACTCGTATTCGGCTTAAGGGTTTTGAAGGCGGTATGTATACTCCTAATATCAAAGTTTACGGTGCTAAGATAATTTTTGCTGACGCAATTTATGTTAATATCTGGGGTATGAGATGTGTTCCCGTTGTGGGAAAACCATTCATTTACCAGTTCACATGTGACGTCTGGTCATAATATGTCACACTATGATTCAATAAGGAGTGAATGTTTGATCTGCGTTCTTTATTATGCAATTTGCAAGGAGACGAAATGCAGCATTGAGTGCAGTACGTTCTTCTGTCTGTTTATGTTTGTTGTGTTGACATTGCGCCCCTTCAAGTATAAAGTATACCTGGTGCAGGGCACCGAATTCCTTTGATATATGGTACGTCCTTTTTAGTTTTCGCAGCTTAGACTTAGTCTTTTGGTTGATATAGGGAGCAGTTGATTTAAAATCAGTTTTAGATGGAATGGTAGTGACTAGTGAAAATTTGGTGGTAGTACTGAATATTCCTAATGTTACTAAGAAGTTATCACTGGTAAAGAACCTGCTCCAGTCAGAATGCTTTATCAGAAATCGAAAGTTTTCCTAGTCAGCGTTTGCATAGTCTCTATATTGGAAACGCGTATTTAATGTCTTTAATTTGTTGCACTTGGCAAGAATCGGAAGAGTGCAGAGGACTATTTTATGATCGCTTTTGTGAATCGTTTCGCCAACCACAATTGATGTTGGTGTGATATTGTGACAGAATATCAGGTCGAAAATGCTGTCATTTCGTGTAGGCAAGTGTACATGTTGCCGCCAATAGTTTATGTCTAAGGACCTAAGTATGCTTTTATAGCATAATGGACCAGAATATGTCATCCAGTTGATGGTGGTAAGTTTAAATCACCACAAACTATTTTGTAGGCAAGATCAAGTGAGGTAGCCTTAGCAAATGACTCAGTTATAATAGTGTTAAATGAACTGGGCGTATTAGGGGCTCGATATACACATCCGACTATTTTACATTCATGGGTGTGTACAGTAAGGCAATATCGAATCTGGTAGTTTGCTGATGGTATGGTCGCTATATATTTCCGCCCTCATATTTTTTTAAAACATATAAAAGACAACCACCACCCTTCTTGGTGACTCGATCACAACGGAAGAGCTCATATGTGTCTATTTGGAGGTACGAGTCTGTAATATCGGAGGACAACCAACTTGGCGTTATCAAAGCAAGTGAAGGGTTTTTTTTAAAGTAACAGGGTGCGTAGGTGTGACATCTTATTTTGTACAGACCGAGCATTAATTAGCAAAAGTGTCAGATACGGTGAGTGTTTGTCTAGTAGAAGGGTGTGATGTAAACCCAGTGGATTGTCTGTTTCGTCATAAGAAGTGGGAGCATTGGTTCCATATTCATGTTCGTTTAGTTTCTTACCAATATGGTTAATGGGAGAAAGGTAATCGGAATTTAGTTTGGTGAAAGAAGTTTGTTTAGGAGTGTCAGATAGAATCTAATGAATTGGATGGATAAGTAGTGTATTCGGGTAGTGATCAGGAGGTTCGGTCAAGGATCTCCTAAGACTAGAGAAATTTATGGATGGTGAGAAAGATGTTTCACTCCCTTTCAGGTCGGAGTATATAGAAGATGGTCTCAGAATAGTGGGATTGTCGCCCTCAATACTTTGAGACCCCATAGCAGGACTGTTGAGGAGGGGAGATAAAAGATAATACATACGTAAGTTTAACTCTAACACAAACCTAAGGGGTAATACCAAGAAACTGGAAACACGACTCAGCAGAACGGACTGTGGACAAACCTTTTGCTCCTTAAGAGTAATAAAATGCCGGAATTCTCCGCCGGCTGAGCTAGTCTAAGTGACTTCCCAGGAGTTCTTTAAGAGGCAACTCCACCTATTCTTAATAACTAAAGATAGTATCTTACTATGACTTACCAATTTCTTTTTCCTCTTTTATCGTTAATATATCTATGTTCCTGCCTGGAGGTATTGGTGATCCACTGCTACTAGACACGGAAGCACGTTAAGCTAAAGCTTCTACTATTTCGTCAACAACCATTTAAACCATTTTGAGCCCACCTTGAACAAATAGACTCAAGGTCGTGCGGGAAGATTTGACTTCGATGGAGTACCTACAGAAATATATGGAAGGTTTGTGTTCATTTTTGACCATTTCTCCGTATGTAGTGGATTTACCGATTATGTGACTTTGTGTCTCAGTATCAACCAAGACTAATTGCTTATTACATGACCATTCAAAACTTTATGATGATGAACAACTTAAGTCACTGGCTCTAATGACAGTATTTTAAACACTCCGGGGCACCCCATTAAATGCTTACTTCAGTCCAGTCCCAACACGAAATTCAGGGGCAATAACCAAAATTTGGTATCACAACATAATAAACAGACTATGGGTAGACCTCTCTCTTATGAGTAGTCAAATCCTGGGATTCGTTACCAGATATGGTGGTTCAAGCGTCTACACAGGTGCCCTTAAAGAATAAGCTGGTATACTTCCAAGAACTTAGGGCAGTATTCCACCACAGTTTACTAGTATTTATCTTTTGCTTGTTAGATATACGTAGGTTCCTACGTAGAGGCACTGGCGATCCCCTTCTTGTAGATATGGAGATACGTTAGGCAAAAGCTTTTATTTTGCCCACAACCACCTGAACAACGTAAAAGTAGTGTCGCATTGCTTCTGGGGTCTGAGCTAAAGTTTGCTGCCGAATGAATTAGTAAACCGAGAAAGTCGTGCAAATATCGAAATACAGTTCCCGTTTGGTGTTATATATATATATATATCTCACGAACTAATAACAATTATAATCTTAATTCCTCGCCTGACAGATTATTCATACCTTGATGTTTCCTGATTAATTAAAAGGATTAAATCTCCAGGTCGTTCGATAGTAGCCTTGAGTTTAGCGTTCTCGATCATAGCTATAAAACAGAATATATATAAATATTTATTGAAAAGGGTATCTCAGGTCGATACTTCGTGTGACCTCATAGCACTCGAAAGATTGTTAAGGCTCAATCGTTTTAGTCACTTTTATGTGTTATTGACCGAAATTTTCGTATATTATAGTCAGGCTAACAAGGAAGGGGGCAGAAAGACGTACATTCATATGTTGGGCATGCGTAATACGTGGTCCAACCATATCAGTCGATGAAGATTTACAACCTCATTGACTGGTTTGCCATCATTCCCTAATACCCTGCATCTAACCACACTATGACTTACCCGTTGATCGCACCAGATGCGAGCAATATTTCTAGGACATCAGTGATCAAATACTAGGAACTTACGAGTATCTTCTACTCCTAAAGGCCACGTTTCACAGACATAAAGTGGAACAGAACGAACTACTGCTCAGTATACTCGTCCCTTAATTGATAGACGAATATCTCGACTTCGCCATAGGTGACGTAATTTGCAAAAGTTGAAAGGGGATTTTGAGTCCGTGCAGAGATTTCGTCAGGCACCAACCCATCAGGCCTGATCAGACTTCCAAGATAAGTGAGGTTGTCAACGCGTTCGACTACTGCACTCCCTGTCCTTAGTTCAGGTGTTGACACAGGCCAGTCATGAAGTAACACCTTGCATTTAGAGGGCGAGAAACGCGTCCCAAACATTCTGGTATTGTTGCTCAGTGCTATGAAGTTGCTGAATTTTGTCAGTGTCTTCACCAAAGAGGACTATATCATCTGTGTATTCTAAGTCAATAAGTAGACCTCCTGGTAGGAGATCAATGCCTGATAATCCAGACGACGTGGACGTTATTTCCAGCAGTAGGTCTTTGATGAAATTAAACAGAAATGGAGATGGTGGATAGCCTTGACAGACATCACTTAAGGTTGCAAAGCAGATGACAGTTCGCTATAAGCTCTGACTCGACTAGTATTGTTCGAGTTAAGTGCACTCACAATGTTTATGTGCATCTGAGGTACACCTTTCAATGAAAGACACTGCCACAGTACCTCTCAGTCTACAGAGTCAAATGCTGCTTTTCTGTTAAGAAAAACTATCATTGTCGCACGCCGATAAGCATACCTGTGTTCTAGAACCTGACGGATGGTAAATATGTGGATGATGCTGCCACGATCAAGTCTAAATCCAGCATGATTTTCTAGTGTTTGCAGTTCATCAGTCTTAATTAGGTAGTCAGTCAGGAATAAGGATATAGTACAGGAGGAAAGAATTAGTTCGTAGAAAGAAAGATTTGAAGCGATTTTAATCTCTTAGTTTAAGGGAAGACAGAGAGTGTATATACCAACGCCATTGTGATCGATTCTGAGCCATGTCACCAATAGTCTCCAACCATTGGTTACGATAGTCACGCGGACCCCAACCAATTAGTCTGCATCTCCCAACATGGCTCAGACTAGAAGTTAGTGTCTTCAAGCACTGATGCCACGTTTTGGTTTGGCCGCCTCTAACTTTCTTCCAACCATCTCCAATACCGGATAGCATTGCACGTCGTGGTAATCGGTGTTCGGGCATACGTAATACGTGGCCCAACCATCTCAGTCGATGAAGATTCACAACCTCAACTGTACCAGTGGTAATGCATTTAATGAGCAAAGTTCAAGCAACTGGCCTTTGCTTTGTCCTTATCTCTTGAATGAGGTGTGACTACCTATATAGTCGGACATTCTCTTATGTTGTTTGACGGCAACTCGTGCAAGATGGGACTTGAACTGTATTCGATATCTAGGCATTATACACTTATTTTCATCCGGTGTTTAGTATGATTTTAATCCTACACTTCAAAAAATAACAGGGAAACTCCATTATTCCCTTTTTGTTGCATTGAATGGAAATGCATTTAAAGTTCATTAAGTAACGTAACGAAAATGTGTTGAAAGTTAAACTTGCATTCACGTTAATTCGATATTGGTTTCCTTCATAAGTTATATTCCCGAGAAGTTGACGTACTTTATACAGTATTTTATTAACTGATGTATTTAGCCTTATAACATTTTTAGAATGGCTGTTTATGTTACCTAGCTTTTCAAAGTGACATAGATGGTGCAGGGTTCAAATCTTCCACTCTGGTGGTCGAAAGTCCAGTTCATTAGTGTAGTACGGTTACTGCTAACCAAACCACTGCAACTTTCTGATTCTTTTCAATATGTTACACAAACATTCAGGGGCTTCTTGCTCAGGACTTCGATAAAGTAGGAATAACCCCATCGTTCTATTTCAGCTGAGGTCGTAGTAGTCCACACGATTCATTTACATGTACCGCCAGCCTAACAGCTCATGTAACCAGGCGTTTTCACATTATTTATTCCAGTTCATTAGTTATTCAAAGCGATAAATTCATTGTCTGTGCGCAACTGTCGCTAATCTCCCTCCTCTCTCGTTTCGGCAACCTCAATTTTTTCTAAGCTGACTCTGCCACCGAGGTTACCTCACTTTTTCATAGATTACTGGCGTCATTATAGCAGGTTTTCAGTTCTGTTTAATATCTCTGGTACGGTTACAGTTATCTGAAAATGATACGATTTCGAACAGTGTATACATAAAGACCCTTGGGAGTAGGATTTTCCCATTGAACTATCGTATTTTGCTTTAAATTCCAGTCACTTGTTAATACGCAACGTAGAACCTGACATACGTACATCGGTTCAAGTTGCTAGCTATTCAGGTTGTTTTTATTATCATCCAGCCAATAACTGTTAATCAATGTAATAAGTCAGTAGGTTCAGTTTCGTTAGTTGTTACTCGGTCACATCATATTCTGCATTACTAATAGACCACCTTTCTTTCATTTTATCATCAAAAATTTAATAATTTTCAGCTTGTTCAAGCTCTTATTGATTTTCTGATTAGATTCAACGTTAAACAATACTTTTGAGATATGTATTTGGACTTAATGTCTTTCTGTTATTAATAGTTATTCCCTTTACAAATGTTTATTTAGATTTAGAACACTTACCACCTCATTTGCGACAAGAATTTGAAATTATGCGTGATCTTGATCAAAAAGTCCAGGATATCATTCGTCAAACACAACAACGCACAACCTATCTATTTGAACATGCATATGAAATGTCCAAAGAGGAACGCAAAGCACAAATTGAACAAATACAAAGTTTATTTAAAAAAGGCAAAGAAATTAGTAACGATAAGGTGTCCAGAGCTGAAAGTGCTTATGAACTAGTTGACAAACAAATACGTCGACTAGATGCAGATATGTTTGAATTCAAAAAGGCATTAGGTACGTGTGAAGTTTTGATCGTATTATGATGTTAGCTGAAAAAGAGTCTAAGAAAGTGAAAAAATCTCGAACAAAACAAGAACAAGAGCCGGTTATTTCTCCTAAGTGAGTCTTTACTTAGTACTTGATCCCGTTTGTTGCGTCATTTATGTTTATTTAAAGCCAAGATTTTAATGTTTGTCTATTGAGACCTATGGAATCCACTCAGTAATATATACTTAATAATATAAGATGTTACAATTTATGTTGTATCTTAAACTTGAATAAACCATTCAAACCTCTGAAGACTGTAAATGAATGCAGACTAATATGCTAAGCTGTCAACTGGACTTATTTCGGAGTTGATGATGCTACTATCGTAGCTGAATAAAACAAGTGAAGTGAAACTTTACTCATTAGGGAATCAACGTTTTGGGTTACTTACTACCGAATGGGCATTCTTAGATTTATATCAAGTGATCATTTTGTAAGTTTTCGCTAAGATTTTATTTTGGGCTTGACGAGTTCTTTGGCGATATTTCTAAACGTCCTGGAAAATACCCCTTTAGAAGGATAAATCTGTTCAAATTACTGTATTTTTAATTCATGACATATCGTAGATCGCATGTTTAAGCTGATATACTCCATTAAAGTTTGGATAATTGAGTAATATTGTGCTTTCACATCCTAACGATTGGACCTAAAATGGGTACTAGATTAACCGTATTTATTTTCGTCATTAATATTCTTTATGCACACAAGTGTTGAATCGAATACTGTTTGGATCATCTGACCCCCTCAAACGAAAGATTTTGTTAGGGGACCACTCCATGAGTCTTTGACCTAAGGGTTCGACCCACGAAGTAGCGGGGCAACGTCAAATACAGTGCCATGGTAGATGGTGACTAAAATGACTTCGTGTCCTATTTCAAAATTCCAAAACTTGTGTACACCATTGGTTTATAATCAGGGTTTCTGTTGTATCCTATATATCAGGACTTAACAGTTTCCTACTCCCCTAAGTGGACCCTGAATATCCACTTGCCCAGTTTGTGCTCGGAACATCCACTTTTCATCCTCTTGCTTTCGTTAAAACCGCTACGCTCAGGACTAAGGATTTCATAAAGTCATTTCAGGAACGAGAGCATTCTCCATACCCTTGATCATCTCAGGACATTCAGAGGAACTATCACTATCAATAATAACAGTCCTTGAGTTATCTAATTTTTCGCCAAATTGTTTGTAAGTTCCGTAGTCTGGCAGTGAGTGCATACACTTGGCCATGTGAGAGTATTTCGAGGGGGAGAGCTGACTCTCCCTCTCTCCTCCTTTGGGGGCACTAATGAAAATTTGTTCGACTTTTTGTAACTTTCTCTGAGTTATCATGTTTCGTTTCTTCATATTTGTTTTTAATCTAGAATCCCAGCTACTGCTGCATTGGCATTGGCATTGACGAATAATCCTAGAGAAGTATTAGACATGCCAGTTGATCCAAATGAACCTACCTATTGTATATGTCAACAAGTATCCTATGGCGAAATGGTTGCGTGTGATAATCGTGATTGTGCAATTGAATGGTTCCATTTCGAGTGTGTTGGCTTAGTGAATAAACCACGTGGACAATGGTATTGTCCTCAGTGTATAGCTCAAGGATTTCCTTTGAAAAAAGATGACTAGTAAAGCCATTACAGACAACTTTAATTGTCTGACTTCTTTGTTCTTGTATTTTACGATGCTTGTTCTATCTCACCAACAATATCTTCCTCTTTTATTTCTTTTCGCACTATGTAATTTGCACTGTGTAAATAGATGAATATTCCAGCGTGTCATTTTTCTCCTGTATATAGATATACTTGTTAATACTTCATCATTTGCATACTTCCATGTGAATATTTGGTTGTTCAGCATGTCAACACCCACTAGAAAGACTAAAAAGCGACACTCCAGCATAAATGCTCCTTTCAAATCTCCATTAAAAAGGATCAATGAAAGTAACAGTTTTACCGATCCTACCATTAACAATCAAAACAATGAAATTAATGAACAACCAGATGTTATTGTAAGTTATTTCCTGTTGTATTTTTTATTTTGTGCGATCTAACCATTTTCTACTACTTATTAGTAGTAAACTTTGAATTTGTAATAAATATATTTTTGTTATATCCCAATCAGTAGTGGCTTGATGTAAGCCACTTCTTCAGAGTAATTGACTTTCACGAAAGATCAGAGATACAATTTCTCTACCCATTGGGGGATAAAAAATAGATTTCTCGAGCCGACCTTTTCTAACCCCACCCTTCTTTGTGGGAAGGCAGCATAACTGTTGTGCTGGTTGTCTGAATGAAACACCTTACTGCCGTCACACCTCTGTACAGTCAGCAGTACGACTTCGCCCTTGGACCTTGAGTTTGTTGCTTTTAGTTTTACTGCCATCCAACCGACCTGTCTGGCGTAGTAGAACCTTGAGGAACGGTTGTTCCAGCCAGTATAGCTCGATTGGTTCATCACGATGGACAAGCCCGACCACCACGTCAAGGTGGCAGCAGCAGTCAGGTTACCAATCATACTTAACATTAATGATTATTGTTGCTCGCATCTGCTGCGATCAACGGGTAAGTCATAGTGAGGTTAGATGCAGGGTATTAGGGAATGATGGCAAACCAGTCGATGAGGTTGTAAACCTTCATCGACTGATATGGTTGGACTACGTATTACGCATGCCCAACCACTGGTTACCACGACGCGCAATGCTGACTGATATTGGACACAGTTGGAATTAAGTTGGAGACGGCCAAACCAAAACTAGGCATCAGTTTATATAGTCACTAACTTCTAGTCTATTTTAATATTTATTTAAACACATGAACATCGGTACAAGGAGGCATCCATTGGATATGCGCCACATAAATCATTCGATTTATTTGAAGGCTGGGATACTGCCCGGGTGACCAAACCGAAGCAGGTGGCTTTCTTAGGGGGCCACACCCCGAACCTTTGACCTAAAGGTCTAATCCACAAGGCAGTAGAGCATCGTAAGGAGATGCAGTCCCATGGTAACTGGTGACCAACAATAGGTTTTTACACCATTTGCTGTCTTAGGATTCTGGGACCCATGCACATCACTGGTTTAGAATCGGGTTGTTCCAACTCCCCCAGGTGGATCCTCCGTACACACCGACCCGGTCAAAGCGCCGGACGCCCGCCTTTCATCCTCTCAACTTTCTAAAATACACCCCCGGAACGAGCAGACAGTGAGTAGTCCTTCCCTGGCAGTGGTTTTAAGCACGTGGCCACTTGAGAGCATTCCGAGAGGGAGAGCTGACTCTCTCCCCACTCTCGATTGTACCAGGGTATTTGGGGGCTTCCTAGTCTGAACCATATTGGTAGATGCAGACTACTTGGTTGGAGTACGCGTGACTATCGTATCCAATGGTTAGAGACTCGGAGTGACATAGCTCAGAGTCGATCGCAATGGCGTAGGTGTATACACTCTCTGTCTTCCCTTAAACTAAGAGATTAAAATTGCTTCAAATCTTTCTTTCTACGAACCAATTCTTTCTTCTTGTACTATGTCCTTATACACAATCTTTCTTTTATACATTACTACCATTGAGGTGACTGCTTCTATGAATTTGGTGTTGATCTTGTTGTGCTAATGAGTCGTAGCAACTTGGACTGATGCATATATGTGCCTGGTCCTACGTTGTAGCTGACTGCCTTTCACAATTAACATGCATCCAAGGCGTTGAACCGGTAGATATTTTAGTATTCTAGTTGCTCACTTATATCTTTTAGTGATTGTACAGACGCTTACCTATAGGTCTCTGTTTTTCGATCTCCCGCACTTAATGTGTCGAAATAATCACCCGAATTCCTGTATTTTTGTGTACCCATTTCAATAAGATTGTACTTTTCAATGTACTATCTTGAACTCATGGTCGGAATGTGATACTACTTGTACCATTCAGTGTAAGTATTATATACGATGTATGTAATTCGATTTAATTTCTAGTGTTTCATTGAACCTGAAGTGCAGTGAAATAAATCTTGCTCAGTACATATTCCAGATATTATGTTTATTTTTTCCAGAGAAGTCAATTAAACCTAAATGATACTAATAAACAAACTAGTTCATTCCACACTGAGCTGCAACACCTCGGGAAAGAGAATATTCACATTGCTAAAGTTAGCATTGATGATGTCAACGACAACGAGGACAACGACGACTTGGATGACAACAGTAAAATAGAAAATTGTATTAACAAACTGTTATCAAAGCGACCAAATCAAAGTTATATTGATTTAGAGTTGGAGTTAGCTAAATGTCGTAATCGTTTACATGCTTACAATGAGGCCAAAGATTCATGTGTAATACTATTTGGTCTGTTAGCAAACAATCGAGGTTGTCTGGTCCGAGAATTGTATTCTGAATTCGATTTGAATCTGGACGACTAGAGACTATTAGTTTTCGTTGTTTTTATTTTGCTGTCTTTTTTGTTAAGATGAAGCGTATACCAAATCAGAAAGCCGATTTGTATTGTTTCACCTTGCTTGTACATAAATTGTTTCAGAGATTGAGTTTAAAATTTATGACAGCTCTATTAATATGATTATTGTTATTATTAATTCTAATGTACACACGGTCATGACTTTTTATCTTGTGTTAAAAATAGAAACTTTTGAGGTTTGAACGTATTAGTTTGCTAAACCATGCTAATATATTTTTAAAAAAAAACTCATTTTCAGTGTTTATAGTTGAAATTTACAGACAAAGTGAGTGTTCCTAAAGTGATCGACACCGGATCACTGATGAATAGTTATACTGATAATAAATATTCCCAATTTATATTGTGATAGTTGGTAAACCATTTATTTTTGTCCAGTTGTTCTGGTGAACTTAGGATCATAGTGAATATCCAAAAGATAAATCTGTTATTGTGACTTTTTTCTTATTTGTGTTTGTAAAGTATGCAAATATTCAGTTTAATTGTAAAACGCAATATTCATCATTAGTTAGCCTTTAAAATTCATTTACGACTTCACTCGCGAGACTGGATCGAGTCATTCTAGTCGTTGTATCAATTTAGACAGCACATTGATAGCATCCATAACTGCATACAATCCTGATTCGTTAGCTGTTAAAATAAAGATACCTAGAAATGACATCACATTTCGTAGATTAAAGATCATCATCGTTTTTATTAGACTAATTCTATCCAAAATTCTCTGAGCAGCTTACTGCTAGTTGTCATCTTAATTCTTACGTCTCATGATGTTCATTATGACTCTTCATTTTCTTCTGATTCCTCTTATCCGGGTATTCTGTCGTCAACTTTGATTGCACTAACTACATAGTCCGGTTAGGTCATTAGTTACTTGGTTATTCAAACGTAACGTAGAACCTAGCAAATGCATATACCAGTACAGGTTGTCGCACCTCTTCACACAGCAGAATAAAATTGTCAGAACGAATTCCAGATTAATAAAGGTAGTGACAATATTAATCGTGGTAAAAAATCAGGTATAGAAAATATGGATTCCATTCACTACTCATCGCCTGTTACCCGTCGTGGAGATACATAGGCCACCCACCAGTATTCTCCATTCAACTGTATTTTGGCCAATCCTTCTCAGTCTGCTTCCAATCCCCGGCGCAATCTGTTCTTTGGTTTTTCTCTTTTCCGTTTTTCTTCAGGATTCCAAGTTAGCACCTACCTCGTGCTGCAGTTTGTCGATTTCCGTAATGTGCGCCTTTTCCGCACATTGGATATCTTTAGTAGACAAATTTTTATAAATACTTGTACCTTCTTGATGGTGGTTGTAGTAGTTCTTCGAGTTTCAGCTCCATACCGTAGAATTGTCTTGATGTTCGTATTGAAGATTTTCATTTTGATATTGGTTGACAGCTTTTTTGAGTTACGTATGTCCTTCAACTGTAGAAATGCTGTCCTTGTTTTGTCAATCCTCGCCTTTACGTTTGCACAAGATCCTCGACGTTAACCGACGATGCTACCCAGATACTTTCTACCTCTCCCAGAGTTTCTCCATCAAGTGTGATTGGTTTGGTTTTCTCCGTGTTGAATTTTATGATCTTGCTTTTTCCCTTGTGTGTGTTGTGGCCTGCTGATACAGAGGCTGCTGTTACACTATTTGTCATCATCTACGCTTGTTCGTGTGTATGGGATCGAAGGGCCAGGTCATCTGCGAAGTCCTAATCTTCTAATTGATTCCGAGCTGTCCATTGTATTTCGTGCTTCTCGTCAAATGTGAAGGTCTTCGTAGTCCAGTCAATCACCAGAAGAAAGAAGGGAGTAAGCAGCGTATTCCGACTCTAGTCCTCACTTAAAATGCGTCTGTCAGCTGTCCTCCATGCATCAATTTGCAGTGTTGTCCGCCATATGGTGTTGACGATCTGCTTACGTACACCATAGTCTCGAAGGAGGTTCCGTTAGGTTCTATCCACACTGTCGAATGCATTCTCATAGTCAAGGAAGTTGGTGTATAGTGACGAGTCCCATTCCATTGATTGTTCAGCAATGATCCATAGTGTCGCAATTAATATACGGATTGGTAGCACAAAAAGTTTTAGAAAACCAAGTATCCGCGTCATTGATCGAATTTGAGTTGTCACCGACGGTCTCTAAACATTGGTTATGATAATCATGTGGACCGAAACCAGATGGTCTGCACCTACTCAACAATCAGTTTTCATGGAGTGCTGTCACATCCTGATTTGGCAGCCTCTAGCCTACCCCGACATCGCGCGTCTAGTTGGTCAGTGGGTGGGCATATGTAATACATTTCCAAAGTGATGTAAGTTGGCAAAAGCCAACTGAGATTTATGAATTCGTCCTACGATATTGTCAGGCACCAGGGTTAGTGAGAACTCCAAGATAAGTAGTAACTGACATACTTAACTACTTCACTCCTTATTCTTAGTTTAGGCGTTGATGCAGAACAGTTCTGAGTCTAAAAATCGCTTGAACTTGCTTAAAGTGGTTAGGAGACTACATTTTTTAGTCTTTGCCAAATAGAACCATATCATCTGCATTTTCTAAGTTAACAAGTGAGTCTCCTGGTGGAAGGTCGATTCTTGATAGGTCAGACATCGAGTGTTATCTCTAGAAGAATATTCAGTAGTGTTTGAGTAGAAAGCTTGTACAAGATTGATACGCTTGCAATGAAACACTCACAAAACTTTTCGATCTCCAAAGATAAGTGCCGCCTTAATCCCGAGAAATATAATGGTAAGTATGTATGTCCTCCAGAACCTGATGAAGGGAGAATATTTAGTCTGCATATTCATGAGTGGGTCTTAAACCAGCTTGGTTTTCTCGGGTTCGCTCTTCATAAGCACTAGCTATGTGTTGGATGATTGTTGAGATTAACATGTTGGACAGTTACCTAAACTGATTCATATGAAGTTATCACAAGAGGGCTTATGGACTAAAATGACCAGAGATCGAGACCAGTCAGGTTTTAGTGTCCTCAGTTCCCAGACTCTAGCTACTATCTCAGCCAATTTAGCAACTGAGACTGAATCACTGTCCTTGGAAATCTCAGCTGTTACGCTCCTTTGTTTTAGACTAGCTGTGGCACTTTCTACTTCTTAAGAGTCGGGGGCCTATGCTGACATCTGATTTTGGCTGTTTGGTAAAAGTCAGCAACTTATAGTTGGCAATCAATATGTTCTTCATTGTTCTGTCCACCGTTCCAGTCTCTTGGGCTGCGAGTGAATCATTATCCCATCCTTTTTAAAAATAGTTTCACCAACTTTCAGATTTCAAATGCCAACTGGAGCAAGAAGAATGGCAGAGACGGTGGCGATAGACTACAGTAGACAAATTTACTGCCTTTCAGAGTTACACTGTAGTGCGACTCTGGAAATTTCCTTTAATTGTGCTTTCTTCATTGAAATCAAAGATATGCAAATCGGTTATACGTCTAATTTTATTCTTGTATGAGGGGTATATGACCAGGATCTTATTCATTTAAGAACCGAGAGTACTGAACTGATAATCATATCCATCAACAATGACGGCGGAAAAGGCTGCAAGAGAAGGAAACATGAGATAATCGTATGATACAACAAAGACACTCGTTGGAAATTATTGTAAACCAGAACGACCAATGAAAAGCAAGGAAGGTAAAGTAACCACGAACATTGAAGAACAGCAAAACCATTGGGTAGAGCACATGGGTCGATTAGCCCCACTGAACACACCCAAAATCGAAGTAGCACCCACGGACCTCCCAATCGATGTTGGTCCATCAACAATTGAAGCGATCAGCATGGCCATCAGTCAATCAGTAACAAAGCAGAACTTCGTACGTACGTACATCAGTTCGAGTTGCCATACCACATTAGCACACAAATACAATTGTCGATTCAAATCCCATAGTATTAGAGGTAGTAAAAGTATAAGCAGTAATCGGAAAGATTAGGATTTGAAGATGTTATTCAAGGAGTATATTCCAGTAAAATAGATTTAGAAAGAGAAAAAAGGGACATGAATAATCCAGATTAGAATTTGGAAGAACGCAAGGAGTGGATGCACCTGAGCCATTTCAAACGAGATTTCTAACCGTCGATTGCTATCGTCTCGCGGATCCTAACTAGGTAGTCTGCAAATACAAACATGGCTCAGTACACTTGTCAGTCAGTGACTTCATGGATTTGTGCCACGTTTTGGTCTGACTGCCCCTAGCTTTCTTCCAACCTACTCCTATACCACTGAACATAGCACGTCGAGGCAGTCGGTCGTTGGGCATACGTAACACGTGTCCCAGACATTTCAACTGATGAAGTTTCACTACGTCAACAATTCATTTGCCATCCTTACCTAGTACCCGTTTCCTAACAACTGTGTTACTTACTCGATGGTCCCATGATATACGAGCAATGTTTCGAAGACACCTATGATCAAATACTAGTAGCCTACGGATATCCTCTACCCTTACCGGCCATGTTTCACTGCCATAAAGTAGGACGGAACGAACTGCTGCGCAGTAAACACGTCCTTTGGTTGATAGACAGATATCTCGCGTACGCCATAAATGACGCAAGTTGGCAAAAGCTAGTCGAGCCTTCTGTATCCGTGCTGAGATTTCGTCACACACCAAACCACAAGGGCTGATGAGACTTCCAAGATAAGTGAAGCGGTCGACACACTCAACTACTTCACTCCCTATCACTAGTTCGAGTGTCGATGTAACCCAGTCCTGAAGCAACATTTTGCATTTCGAGGGAGAGAATCGCATCCCGAACATGCTTGCATTGTTGCTTAGAGTGGTCAGAAGACTCTGCATTTTGTTAGCGTCTTCACCAAATAAAACTATGTCATCGGCATATTCTAAGTCAACAAGTGAGTCGCTCAATAGAAGTTCAATCCCTGAAAATTTAGATGAGGAAAGTGTCACCTCTAAAGGCATGTCTACGATAAAGTTAAACAAGAATGGAGAGAGTGGTACAAGGAGGCATCAAATACATATGCGCCACACAAATCATATGAGATTTGTGTAAGGGCTGTGATACTGTACGAGTGCCCAAACCGAAGCAGGTGGTTCTCTTAGGGGGCCACACCCAGAGCCTTCGACCTGAAGGTCCGATCCACAAGACAGTGGAGCATCGTAAGGAGATGCAGT